TTTTTATCTTAGAAGCAAATTGATTGGGTTACATCGTGAAGAATAATTAAATATGTACATGCACATTGAGGTGTATCATATCCCTAAACCTTACGGAACCATGCGTGCAAAACTGGAGTTCCTATGTGTATTGCCTAGAAGCATTTACCAGTGCACAGACCTAAACAGGATGATTCTTCTACTGCGACTGCGATTTTCCTATGGATACAATAAAGAACATATATACCTGCACATTCTTAGTACCCAAATCGATAAAACCCAAAAACTAAATTTAATAAAGGAAGCGAAGCACACCTGAGTTTAATTTATTAAGCGATTTTTGAAGTCGACTCTTTTTTTTTATTGGTGCATGCAGGTTTGGTACCTCCAATAACTAAGCGTCAAACTCCTTTAAGCTCACTGTTCCAGATCAACTATTTAGGGCCCCTTCCACACAGTGAGAACTAACGTTATTCACTCACCACCACAGGTTGCTGCCACTCCGGAAGATTTGAATAAACTACCTCAGTTAAGGCTTCTTCGAGTGCCATCTGTGGTCCATTTTTGACATCTCCGAAGAAAAAGGCTTTTCCACCTGTTTTCACTGGAAGTCTGTAGAAGTCGTCAAATACCAAGGAAAAGACGTGCAGGACCACATTGTTTTCTAGTATAGCCGAGAAAATATTAGCAGTCTCCTTGCTCTGATTTGATTTGGAGCCCACAAATAAGCACACTGAAGCACCATCGGGCGATTCGCCTTGTGACATTAAAACCTGTCGATTAGGAAAGCATTTATAACTAGGGTTATTAAAGAATCGTTAGAACTTACCGTCAAGGATTTCTCTACTCCGCAGGCGACACAGGTATCGCCACCAAGTCTAAGAGACCTGATAGCATTCGCAAATTTTTCACGGGTCGCTGGGCCAATGACAGCCAGGGGGTGTTCAACGTGACTGGCCTTGTTGAGTGACACGATACTCAGTCGGTCGTCATCCGGAAATACACTTCGAATTACGAAGACAGCCGAACGTTTCGCCAGACTGAAAAGTCTTGGCTCCTAAAATATTGAATAAGATGTTTGCATTAATGAGGTGCGTTTACTGGCACCATGACAGAACAGCACACGACATAACAGCACGCGACAGAACAGCACGGTCGAAACAGCACGCGTCAAAACAGCACAGCGTCAAAACAGCACGGCGACAAAACAGCACGCGACAAAACAGCACAGCGTCAAAACGGTACAGCGACAGAAGAGCACGTGCCAAAACAGCACGACGTCAAAACAGCGCGATGTCAAAACAGCACAGCGTCAAAACATGACATTGACCATATAGCTAGGGTTCGGCGTTTTCGGTTTGTAGTATTTGAAATTCCGCGCGCATTTTGGTTTTTGGCTTTTATTTCAAACAAAAGTTTTCGGTTTTTTCGGTGAATATTTATAGACTCATAAACTTCTCAGTTATATTGGGTTTATTGACGAAAACCAGTACACTAACGAAAATGGAATAATTAAAAGCGTTTGTGTAAACTGTATATTGAGTACCAGGTACTGGTCTTCTTGTTTGTTGCCGTCTTTGGCAGCCGACGCGACCTGTTCTGCAAGACACACTGGGGCCTCATCGTGATCTGACATTATCGTCGTGTGCTCGTATTTGTACACAGGACGAGCATGAGCTTCAGTACCACCTTAGTCGGAGAGGCAAATATCAAAATGGAGAAATTAGCAAGCATTGTACTCATTGACTGCGAGGGCTGATAAATTCGCGCCGACGGCAGAAATGACAATAAAACACTCGTATTTAAGTCCTCCTCTAGTAGTCGGAAGCTAGGGTGTTAAACAGTGCGCGGCATTTACGGACGCTCTTTATTTCCGTTGTTTGATTTAACGATTAAACTGTCTTCTTTTAACAAAGAATTCGGCGCAAATCCCTATCAGGTGAAAAACCCAGATTTCGTCCCGAAGACCCCTGCGTCCCCGGAGCGTTTCTTGAAAGTTGAAACGATCTCGCAGACAAGCTGAAAACTGCGAAAGGAAGTGGTCATATGGTTAGTAATGAGTAGGGTTCCGTGTTTTCGGAGTTTAGTTTTCGTCAAGTTCGGAGGGTGTTTTTCTGAGTTTATTTTTTGCCGAAAATTTCGAGTTTATCGGAGTTTATTTCTGTTCTATTCCGAATTCTCCGAAATCCGGAGCTCAGTTTCGCAGTGTTTCTTATTAAAAATAAACTAATAATATGCAAATATAAACGTATAATTGACAAAAAACGCGATTGCATCAATTAATATTTTCTTCAGTTGGATTTGGCGTTGGTGCCAATACTACTGGTAATACTAATTTGTCCTAGAACAAAAGTGGCACACGAGTGTTATTTCGATAAATGTCGATACCTTAAAATCAATAACCTACTGGAGGTAGTCGCTGGGAAGCCTGTATTCATTCCATGCTATTCCATCAACCTGCCGCGCGGCCGCAAGAGGTAGAGTGGAAAAGGATGAAATAGAGAAGTTTCAACTGTCCATTTCCCCACTTTATGTAATTTCTATGGTCCATAGCTTTCACGGTTACAAAAACACAACCTCTGCTTCCTCTTATGCACAAACAGTATGACCCAAACCGGAAACATAAACAGTGACTTTTGTCTTGACCCGATAGTACAATGACCTGTTGTCCTGACCGAAATTTAAAAAAATATGTGTGGTGGCATTTTCCCAGGACCATTTACTCTACGCGCTGATGAAACCATTAATTGTAAAATATATTTGTGTTTGTGTGTGTGTGTGGGGGGGGGTGGGGGGTGGGGGGTGGGGGGGGATAGGGGATTGGCACATAGAAATTCAGAGTTTATAAGATAAGTTATGAGTCACATTCCCCCCTCCCACACACACACACCACTCCAAACGCCCTCCAAAATACTGAACTTTTTCAGTTAAGACCGAATTTTTAAAAATTAATTCGGCATACTTTTACCGGTTATATTCGGTTTAACCTGAAAACGCTGAACCCTAAATATCGCGTTTAAAGTTAAAAAATGCACGTCTCAAATAAGGCGCTGTAAAGGAATTGAGGTTCTAGGCCAATTCGTCGAAAGCCAACTCGTCGCCGGCCAATTTTTCGAATCTGTTCTTTTGGAAGCAAGTTCGGACGGGGGAGTATACTCGATGCGCGCATGACGGTTCCCTGGGCAGTACCGAAGCCCCCGCTGGTGCGGATTCTGGCTATTTTGTAGCGTGAGCTACACTAGCCGAGGTTGAGCAGTTTTGCGTGGCTCCCATAATGAGTCGTGCTCCGTGCTGCGCATGCGCGAGAGCAGTGACTTCACACGGCGCTCAGCTGGCGCACCGGAGCCGCCGCCGCCGTGCGCTCCCCCGCTGCCGCGCCCGCCTCGCCGGTCTGCGCGTTCCTAGGAGTGACGTCATAGCCACGGCAGACACACTGGCGCCACCGCGTGCCCAGCTGTGCGCCTCCATTGCGCAGTAGCCAAGTCTGACGCTGCACCGGAGCCGCTTTATAGCGCCTCTCATTTTGTGCGCATAAGCTCACGCTACGTATATCCTGGCATAGCCGAGCTAAGCCACCGCAATTTATTCGAACAGTTTTGCACATTTCGACGCGCGAGTTTGCTGCTGATATCGTCTACAATAAATAATTCAATCGCACGGAGATGTGCTGTCGTTAGTTGTTAGAAGAAAAATTCACAAAGCGTGTGCGGCAACGGTGTGTTCAGCCCATGCGGGCAGTGTAAGGCCACAGTATTGAGGCTGCGGCATGTTACTGCTTCACCGGTTTCCATTCGATCGAGGCCCTTCGTCGGCAGTAATCTGTGAATTTAACTCAAAACGTACAACTTCTCGCCTGGAAGCTCCAGCCGCGTGTTTGCCGGACATTTTATTCACGGCGAATCAACCCCGCAGAATCGGTGCCCATGGTACACCTTGAGTACGCTCCACATTAAAGTCACATTATCTTACCAGTTCTATCAATGCATCTGTAATTAACACATTTCCTGCTTTTTTTTTTTTTTTTTTTTTTTTTTTTTTGGGGGGGGGGGGAGGTCATTTTACGCTCAGGTGGTAATTACGAAACGACGAGTACTACGGAACCGGAACATCACCGGACCGCCACAAACCAGGCAGTTCATAACTTGAACTTATATGTATCTTCTTCCCAATAACTTTTCCTCTTTCCCTGATACTTCAAAAAAGGCCAGACAACGCAGACAACATCGACTCGATGGCATCCCCTCTAACTATCCGATCTCTTCAGAGATTAGCGTACTTAAGTAGTAGTAACTACTGCTAACTTTATTTGTTTTTAGCAATCACACAGCAGCAGCACTCGGGACACTGACTTGAGTGCGATCCTGTCGCCGCCAGCGTACATTATTTTTATTGCTTCTCCACTAGCTTTTAGATAATGGCATGCAATGTCCAACCCTTTTTCTTTACGTTCTGTTTTGTTTTCATAAAATGCCACCTATTACAGCCTTTTTACAAGCGTACTGTTTTGTCGTTGTGCTGTGACACCGTGCTGTTTTGTCGCGTGCTATTTTGACGCGTGCTGTTTTGACGCGTGCTGTTTTGACGCCGTGCTGTTTTGACGCTGTGCTGTTTTGACGCGTGCTGTTTTGACGCGTGCTGTTTTGACCGTGCTGTTTTGTCGCGTGCTGTTTTGTCGTGTGCTATTCTGTCGCGTTCCCGCATTTACTAGACACGAAAGACAAACTTTCAAACGAAATATTCCTGATCGGAAAGATCGTTTTAAAATATCAATTTTACGGCTATAATGTATTTATTTTTTCCGCAAGTTCCAAATTGTACAAGGAACAAATCTAAAAATAAATCAGCCCTTATATTCGCTAGTTGTTCAGGAAGCAATATAATTTCCGATAAATTACGAACGCATATATAACCTGCGGTGTCGGAATTAGAAGTGCTGAAAAATACCGTAGAAAACATAATTGAGATTTAATCACTCACAATCATGCTTGAAGTGTCAAACACAAGTACAGTTCGCCTTCCACGCGCCTCGATGTGTTGAATCACATGAAATATCACATCGGGTATTGTCTCAAGTGTACGGCCTTGCAATCTTGGTAAAAAAAGGATGCAGTGTAATGAAATCGTTAATGGCTGAAACTTTTCATGTTAAGACACGCGCCAAATAAGACTAAACGAGGCTTACTCATGGTAGTCCTCGCTCTCCCTTATAACAGCCGAGGTTGGTTTAGATGCGCAGGTTTCGTAATCAGAATTTTTTGTCTGCGAAATGTTGTCATTACCTTCCTCGTCGCAAAACCTGAACACCTGTAAAAATTGAGACATACCAAATGTTTGATAACGTGAAACTCTAATAGAAACCACAAAACATTTGCAAGGCAGGTATCATCACTAAGCTCCCGAAAAAATTATTCTCATTGTTACTTGTATGAACCCATTTTTTTACGACATAAAAATGACAGGCATCAGTGGGCTTTATTTTTTTAGATTAGAACGTACAGATAACAGGCTTCGCCTAATGACGGATATCTCACGGTAAATTAGGCAGGTGCTATAACTTTTGTCGTCTGTAACTCTTTTGCCAATTTAAGGTACCAATTTATACTGTTGAGCGAATGCTAGAGCCGAAGCTCCTCTGCTAAACAATTTAGTTTTACTACAACGCCAGAGAAACTGATTTCATATTTGAGGCTGTAAAAAGATGAGGGCATCTTTAGGAACATAACTGTGTTACGCGAGAGGAACTTGGGTATGGGATTTTTATGTCAAGATCCGCTCTACAACAGGACATATTGAAGATGCATCACGTTAACGTTAACATGAGCTAGCGTAACTTGGGTGTAGGATTTGTATGTCAAGATCCGCTCTACAACAGGACATATTGAAAAGACATCACGTTAACATGAGCTAGCGCACACCAGCTCGGAACACATGGAGCGAAAGCTCGCGCTGTAGATCCCAGCGATCCTGGGTTCAATCCCCGCCCCTGCCCGTTTCGATCTCGATGAGCGTCGTACCGCGTACTGTGGTGTATCACTACTGCTTGGTGCAAGGCAAAGACCTCAGGGTAGCGGTTGTAATGAACTGACTACATTTCTCACCTGCAGCTGAGAGACAAGACGCCAGTTGAGGCAAACTAACCTCAGGATGTGCAAACATACACACAAACACACATCGCGAAATTATAAAACTAGCAAAAAATAAAAAGCAGCCGTTAACTTTACCTGCAAACCTTCGGTGCAGAAAAGGTGGCAACCGTCGTCAGAGGGATGTCGAGAATCGTCAAATACTCCATACCGAAAACGAGCCCACTCGTGAATTAAATTAAACACTGAAAAATATAATCGACGCATCATTACCCTTCGTTCTACACACTACCTTATATTTAGAAATAAACCGGAGCGTCCCTAAATGCACGATACGGGCGCCGCGCATGCGCGCTGTGTTGGAGGCAAGAAGCGCGCCGTCTTTCATCAACCAGCCATTAGCGTGCCATGTCGGCATCGGTCTAAGAACCACTGCCCTTATTCGCGTTGAAATTGTTGATTCTACGTATTCCTAGCAATGTTTGAGTATGTTAGTGGCCTCATTGAACTTGCTAATACTTCACAGCACACAACAGACAACACACCATCAAAACAGATCCACACAAAGAAACAACACTCACGCAGCGTTGACTGTCAACTCTCGGACATATTAAATATCATCTTCGTTATCTTTTACTCTTACGCACTAAAGAGAAGAAAATAAAAGGTAACCAAGGAGGGACAGAGAAAGAAAAAGAAAAAGAAAAAGAAAAGGAAAAGGTTAAAAGGGTATTCACTTGGGCTAGTTGGTTGTACATTTCAGGATTAAACGCGCTAAAAAACGAGGACGAGTAAACGAAGACACACACACAGTAGAGCGCACTTGCAACTGATGTTTAATGTGAATTAAACCAAATAAGAAACATATATGCCTTGTCAACAACCATCCACGTCATGTAAAAACATTGTTCAATAATCTACATATAATCTTTCTAGCTTGGGTATCTTCAGTCCTTTGTTAGCCCAAGCTAGAAAGATTATATATAGATTCTTGAATAATGTTTTTACATGACGTGGATGGTTGTTGACAAGGCATATATGTTTCTTATTTGGTTTTATTCACATTAAACATCAGTTGCAAGTGCGCTCTACTGTGTGTGTGTGTCTTCGTTTACTGGTCCTCATTTTTTAGCGCTTTTAACCCGGAAAGGAAAAGGAGAGAAGATAAGGAAGAAAAAGAAGTCAAGAAAATAAAATACAAAATAAAAGAAAAAGAAAGAAATGACAAAGATTAAGATCAAGTCCTACTACAGTAAAAGTTAGTAAGGAGGCTTTCCTAAATAATCTAACTCTTTTTTGGATAAGCTAATCGTGCGTAAGAGTAAAAGATAACGAAGATGATGTTTAATATATCCGAGAGTTGACAGTCAGCACTGCGTGAGTGTTGTTTCTTTGTGTGGATCTGTTTTGATTTTGTGTTGTCTGTTGTGCGCTGCGAAGTATTAGCATGAAGCTACGGAGCTTCTTGAAAAAAGTGAGTTAGAAGTGAATTCTAGCGTATTTTTACTCCGTGAACCCGAATACCCAAACCAGTTTCTGCGCAAGTATTGTTAAACGCGAGAAAAACGCGAAAGAGAGTCGCTGTACGTGGCGTCATCGACGGATCTTTTAGCTGCCCAAGGCTAAGGAGGCGGGGCTTTAGCCCTATCTTGAAGTTGATCTTATGGCTCACCAGCGCGTCGCATTGAAATATAATTGTGATATCTGCTATTCTAAAGGCCAAATGAACGCAATTCAAGCGTTTTTTCTAAAATGTAGAAGTCCCCCATCTTCCCTTTAACCAACTTGCCCAAGCTGAAGTATTGACCAAGCTCATTGAACTTGACAAGATTTCATGCTTCGCAAAATTTCGCGCCAATAATGTGACGCGTGACGATCTATTGCACGTGGACTCCGCAGAATGGACGCTAAAGCTTGATTGACGTAATAAGCAGAGAAGCGCCTAGTACGAAGAAGTGTGAAAGACGTATAGAGGACATGCACTGAACTCGTAACTCACGTTTAATAGAGAGCTTATGAAAAAAAATGTTAAGGGGGTTTAAAGTATTAATGTAATGGGGACTGAAATGTAGAATTAACTTCAATAGTATTTTCTGAGCTTGTTGTTCATTAATTTATATTATCACGAATATTCTGATTATCATAAATTGGAGGCCACATTCAAAATTTACAGATGAAATGCGATGGTGAAAGTAATTCAAGGACGATATTGACATGTAAAAAAAGGAAGATGGCCATACCATCTAGAAATAACTAAGGTGCTGTAAAAGGTCCCAAATTTAGCACCACACCTATAATGCAAGGAGTGAAGATTGTGTTTACCATTCATATCTTAGCAACAAAAAGTCTAGAATCTTAGAGAGGAGGGAGTGTAGAACCTGCACATGTGTTAGTTAAAATGTAACAAACTTCTGGAGGAGAAATATATCCAATACTCCAGGTTACTTCAAGCAAAACAAAATTAACCTAATCGTAACTGTAAAAAAAGGCGGAAGTATTGTTGCTCCAGAAGATATACACCCGAATAAAATAGGTATCCACCCATTGAAAAAAATAACTAACTACAAGGGTAGATGTATTAGCTTGGGAAACTTAGCACACTTCAAATGTGCCACAGGTCTGATCTAACACAAAGAGGAAACATATATTGTCACGAATGAGAAATGACGAGGCGAAGAATAACTAAAGAAACTAAACGTTTAATGAGCCGAACTTGAGCCCAAAACAAAATAAAAGTAAGGTAGCGTCGCAGGCGTCGATGTCGGCGAAACAGCAGGATCGATCGCTGGAGCGAGACTGACTCCGCTCGCCGCGCGGTGTCCCTTATGTACCCTCGTGGGCTTCTGGATCATTCGGCGTGGAACTTTCGGTGCGTTGAATATTCAGAACTCGATCAGAGGAGAATTTTTTCGAACTTACAAAAAGGCCCAATTGAAAGAATAAATAAAAGGACAGTCCGCTTACTGGAATCGAACCGACACCTACAGCGCGAAAGTCAAGCGCGGTAACCACTCGGCCACGCACGCGCTGGCTCGCCCATGCGCGTGGCATTACTCCCCCCTCTAAAAGCGCATCGTCTCGATGCGACGTGCCGGGAAACAAAAACAGCAAAACAAAACAAAAATAATGGCAAACTACGCAGACTTGTGCAACACAATCCTATCGAGCGTATTACAAAACACAATTCACAGTCTATCGATCGTAGTACGGCTTGAGTCGCACGACGTAAACGACTTCCGGTCGTGGAGGGCGCCGTGATGAAGTCCATGCTCCGTCGGGCATCACCTCATAGTTCAGATCCCCGAGTCCACGAAGCACTCTGTAGGGTCCAAATTAGCGTTTCAAGAGTTTCTCGCTGAGACCGCGGCGGCCGAATCGGTGTCCACACCACACCCTGTCTCCGGGCTGGAAGTGGACGTCCCGTCGACGAAGGTTGTAGCGGCCAGTGACGACACGTTGTTGGGCTTTAATCCGAAGTCTGGCAAGCTGACGGACTTCTTCTGCCCGTTGGGCAACCACCTGGGCGTCGTCGCTTCTGTCTACAGCCGGTTCGTGGGGTAACATAGCGTCCAGCATTGTCGTTACCTTGCGCCCACGCACCAGTTGAAAGGGTGTCACTCCGGTGGTCTCTTGTACGGCCGTGTTGTAGGCAAATGTGACGTACGGCAACACCTCGTCCCACGCCTTGTGCTCCACGTCGACATACGTGGAGATCATGTCGGCGATGGTCTTGTTTAGGCGTTCCGTCAGCCCGTTAATCTGAGGATGATACGCTGTGGTTCGCCGGTGGTTGGTATTTGCTAAGACGAAGGACCTCCTGCATCAGCTGGGCCATGAACGATTATCCACGGTCTGTAATGAGGACTTCGGGGGTGCCGTGCCGGAGGACAATAAACTCGATAAAAAATTTTCCCGAAGGAACCCGAGGTCCTCCCGAGGTCCTCCCGAAGGACCCCGAGGTCCTTCGGGAGGACCTCGGGTTCCTTCGGGAAAATTTACCCCTAATGCACCGCGCGGTTACGCCGACGGCGACGGCGACGCCGCTCAAGCCGGAAACGGGCGCCTAAGAGCTGCGCTCTAAAACTTGGCGACTTCTACAGCCGCTCCTGATGGAAGGGCTTTCGTCTCAGCGTACCTTGTGATATAATCGGTTGCGACGATTATCCATTGGTTTCCGTGTGTCGAGGGTGGGAATGGTCAAAGTAAATTCATTCCGATTTGGGGCCGATGCTGGCGCAATAGGCTGAAGGAGTCTTGCCGGTCTCGTCGGTGGTTTCTTCCGTCGTTGACACTCGTGGCAAGAACGGGTGTAGTGGTGGACTGTCTTCGCAAGCTTGGGCCAGTAGTACTTTTCGTGTATCCTGGCAAGAGTCCTGCTGTAGCCAAGGTGTCCCGCCGTCGGGTCATCGTGGCAGGCTTGAAATATTTCCTCTCGAAGACTGGAAGGGGTCACCAACAGCCACGCCGTGTTGTTGTCACTGAAGTTCTTCTTGTAGAGCACACCTTGTCGGATGGAGAAGGTTGGCAGTGTTCGTACAAAGACGCGGGGAACGGCACTTCCTTATCCCTCTAAGTGCTCGATGAGTGCTCGCAGCTCAAGGTCGTCTCGTTGAAGTGCTGCCATGTTGCTGACTTTCAGGGCGCCGAAAAAACACTCATCGTTATCGTCTTTGGTGCAGGCAGGACCTGCCTCGACTGGGGCCCTTGACAGGCAGTCGGCGTCATTATGGTTCCGGCCGGACTTGTACATTACGGTCATGTCGAACTCCTGCATCCGTAGGCTCCACCGGGCGAGGCGTCCGGAGGGGTCCGTCAGATTCGCGAGCCAGCGGAGGGAGTGGTCTGTGACCACACGAAAAGGACTTCCATACAAATATGGGCGAAACTTTGTTATTGCCCAGACGACAGCGAGGCAGTCCTTTTCAGTCGTAGAGTGGCTCCTCTCCGCGTTAGACAGCGTCCGAGTTGCGTATGCGATGACTCGGTCTGCACCATCATGCATTTGGAATAGTACAGCCCCCAGTCCGGTATTACTGGTGTCGGTGTGGATCTCTGTTTCAGCAAACTGGTCGAAATGGCCAAGAATTGGGGGCGTTGAGAGTCTTCGTTTGACCGCTGGTGTTCTTCTGTCCACTCGAGCTTTACGGCGTCCTTCGTAAGTGCGTCAGCGGTGCGGACAGCTTGGCGAAGTCTCGAGCAAAGCACCTGTAGTAGGCACAGAGT